TCTGTGTAGCTTTGGAGCCTATCCTGGTACTTGCTCTGGAGACCAGGCTGGCCTTGAATTCACAGAGATCCCCCTGCCTCTGCCTCCCAAGTGCTGGGATTAAAGGCGTGCCCAACCTCCACCTGGCTCAAAAAGAAAAAAAAAAAAAAAAAAAAAAAAAAAAAAAAAAAAGAGCCTGAGCTCTTTTTTTAAAGATTAAAGGTAGCACCCACCTTTAAACCCAACCACAGGCTCTTTTTGTGCTTCTGAATATACTCACTATATACTCCATAGCCCAAGTATATCTGTAACAATTCTTTTCCTTCTGCCTTCCCAGATGCCTACATGACCATAAGCAGGCCCCACCATGCCCACCTTTCACCCAATAGTTACTGATGGACGAGAAAGAATATGACCCAAAAATCATGATTAAAATCAGTTTATGAAGCTGAGTGTTGGTTGCAAATGCCTTTAATCCCAGCCCTCGGGAGACAGAGACAGGCGGATCTCTGTGAGTTCAAGACCAGCCTGGTCTACAAGAGCTATTTCCAGGACAGCCTCCAAAGCCACAGAGAAACCCTGTCTCAGAAAAGAAAAGAAAAAATCAATTTATGAACCAGATATAGTGGCTCATACCTATAACCCCAGCACTTGAAAGGCTGAGACAGGAGGATTACTAAACTCAGCTGTATGGTGAAGCCAGACATATGACTGAGTATGTACATAGCTCAACGATAAACATTCACCTAGCATTCCTGGGGTTCATCCCCAAATAGGGCAAACAACAAAGAACCGATATGTTTAAGTGGGCTCAGGAAAAATAAGGAAGAAAAAAAAAAAAAAAAAACTGGAGGGTTCAATTAGGCTGCTTTCTGTTCTGAGAAGTGGCTATGAAAACGGTCGTTTGCTAACCTTTCTTCCTAAGATGTAGATTGGATGCAGACAGGATCGGCCACCTCCTTGCTGTAAGAAGCAAAGTGAAGCCTATGTGTGAGAAACCTAGCCCCAGACACCGCTCAAACTCCTGCTATGACAGGGCAACACTACAGATTGTGATGCCGATTGTGACAGCAACAGGAAGAGAGATTGTTGGAGACATTTTATTATTGCTGTTATTATTACATTGATGTGGGGCAAAGGGGCATGGGTGGCACCCCAGTTGAGTATGTGGAGGTCGGAGGACAACCTTGGGAGCTGATGTTGGAATGTTCTTATACCTAGAGGGGTCCAAAGGTAAAATGCTGGATACCCACAGGAGAATTGGCTTTGTGGGCTTTGTGGGCGAAGGTCCTGGCCAGCAGAGTTCCATCCCCAGCATCCTCAAATCCCCAAGTTGCCCTCTGACCTCCCCACTCTCAATAAACAAACAAACCAAGTAGGACCCAGAGAGATGACAGCTCAGCTATTAATAGTGATTTCTCCCCTTTTGGAAGACCTGAGTTTAGATCCCAGGCACACAAATCTGATGGTTCAAATCCCCCTGGTCCTATGTCCTGTTCCGGTCCCTTCAGGCTCCTGCCCTCACACGAACCTGACCCACCCCCTCCATAATTTAAAATAAAATATTAAAAAAAAAACAAAACAAAAAAACAGCAGGGCCTAGGCCCGGCCCAGGTTGATGTGGTGGACTTTGGGGAGCCCCAGTCGAGGGCCCTACCCTGCCTGGGGAGTGGAGGGTGGATAGGGTGGAGGGTAGATTGGGAGTAGGGTGAGGGGTGTGGGGGAGGGGAGAGAGAGGGAGAAAGGATTGACATGTGAAACAAGCTTGTTCCTAATTTGCACTAATAAAAAAATACAAAAAAAAAAATTAAAAAGG